GCCGCTCTGAGACACCTTTGGGTAGTGAAGGGCGGGGTATAAATCCAATCTCTTCTCTTCTTCTCTTCTAGATTTTTAAAAACAGACTATGCTGTTCAGGGAGGGAAGGCTAGAAATTGAAATAAATAAGTAAATAATGGTTGGGTGCAATGCTCCCTCTAAGCTGTGGAGTCTTGTGAGCACAAATTCTACTTTGTGAGCTCCTGGCGTTAGAGTTGTGAGCGAGTGATTTGGCTACTGCAATTGGATCGCTCTGGAGCCCTCCTTCCCAAGCCAAGACAAAAATATGTGAGCTGGAGGCTAAAAAAACTGTGAGCTAGCTCACACCAACTCAGCTTAGAGGGAACACTGGTTGGGTAGGTTTTTCTCCCTTATTCAATCCCAACGGGGAGTCAAGATGGCTGCTCTGTATTCATACAGCCCCTGTCGCTTTTCGGGCCCTTGCTTTGTACTGGCTTGTTTTTATTTTCCTGCCTTTTTTCTCATCCCCCCTCGCCGCCCTTTTTATCTCCGGTGATTTAGGAAAAGAGGAAGCGCCAAACAGAGATTGAAAATAAGCGGCGGCAGTTGGAAGATGACCGGCGCCAACTGCAGCACCTCAAGGTAAGCAGAAGGAGGGGTCCCTCCGCCAGGTGGAATGCGGGACGCCCCCCTGGGAGGGTGGGGGGGGATCGCCCTTGGACCACAGAAGAGGGGCAGAAGGAGAAGAACCTCCAAAGAGTCGCCCTTGGAAACAGAAGTGACACGGATTGTTAGCACTCTTTTCTCGTGGCGCTAACTTTGAAGAAAACCCCGGACGTGACACGGAACGAGGCGTCAGCGGTGCAAGCTGTTCGCGGTGTATTTTTAGGATCTGCTCTCTTTTTTTGAAAGCCAGCAGTTGTAAGCGACGCCTACGGAGCGGAGCGTGTCTCTCCATTCTTGCAGCAAGGAGCACCGAGCGTGGTGTCTTCAAGCTCGCCCTGTGCAGTGTGCTACTGTGAGGCTACACAGGGCCAGAGTCAGGGGTCTGCAGGAGCAGGCCACCGATTTCACCGGCTGCCTGGCAGAGGCCGCCGCCCCCCGACCCAAGATGTGGGTCAGTCTCCCAAAGAGAGAGGGCAGCAGAGGAAGCAGCCCCCCCCCCCGAGCATCACCTTTGCTGCTCAGGTTACCAAAGGCCTGGGGACAAAAAATGCCTTGCCCTTTAACTGAGACCGCGTGACGGAGTGAGCTCCTGTCTCTGGGCCCAGCTCCTGCTAACCTAGCAGTTCGAAAGCAAGAAATCGCAATAGATGAATAGGTCCCGCTTCAGTGAGAAGGTAACAGCCTTCTGTGTGCCTTAGCATTTAGTCATGCCGGCCACATGACCACAGAGATGTCTTCGGACAGCGCTGGCTCTTCGGCTTGGAAACGGAGATGAGCACTGCCCCCTAGAGTCGGATTCGACTGGCTTTCGAGCAAAGGGGGAAAGGATGTTATTGACCAGGTGATGTCCTTTAGCTCCATGCACTGAAAAGCTTCATCTTCATGGAGCCTCTGTTAAAGGGACAGGACACTTATATTCAGGCCTGTTGGCAATGCTCTCGGTTGACTCCTCCGCGTAGGGATGCCATCCTCCAGGTGAGAGCTGGAGATCTCCCAGAATCACAACTGATCTCCAGACTTCAGCTTCCCTGGAGAGAATGGCAGCATTGGAGGGGGGAGGCGATGGCGTTATACCTCTCCCCCTTCCCTCCCCAGGTTCCGCCCCTGCAATCCCCAGGAATTTCCTAACTCAGAGCTGGCAGCCCTCTCCAGTTTGGTGTAGTGGTGAAGAGCGGCAGACTGTAATCTGGAGAACTGGGTTTGATTCTCCACTCCTCCACATGCAGCCAGCTGGGTGACCTTGGGTCAGTCACGGGTCTCTCAGAGCTGTTCTCTCAAGGGCAGTTCTCGAAAGAGCTCTCTCTCAGCCCCACCTACCTCACAGGGTGTCTGTTGTGGGGAGTGGAAGGGAAAGGAGATTGTAAGCCACTATGAGATTCCTTTGGGTAGTGAAGGCCGGGGTATAATTCCCATCTCCTTCTCTTCACCTCTTCTTCTTCTTCATCATCATCATCAGATGTGCTTTCCTGTATCCTTCCAATGATCCACTTTGAATCCTCCTCCTCTTCTTCTTCTTCCTCCTCCTCTTCTTCTTCCTCCTCCTCCTCTTCTTCTTCTTCCTCCTCCTCTTCTTCTTCCTCCTCCTCCTCCTCTTCTTCTTCTTCCGCCTCCTCCTCCTTCTCTTTTTCTTCTTCCACCTCCTCCTCTTCTTCTTCTTCCGTCTCCTCCTCTTCCGCCTCCTCCTCCTCTTCTTGTTCTTCTTCCACCTCCTCTTCTTCTTCTTCCACTGCCCTCTCTTCTTCTTCGTCCTCCTATTCCTCCTCTTCTTCCACCTCCTCCTCTTCTTCTTCTTCCGTCTCCTCCTCTTCCGCCACCTCCTCTTCTTCTTGTTCTTCTTCCACCTCCTCCTCCTCCTCCTCTTCTTCTTCTACTGCCTCCTCTTCTTCTTCGTCCTCCTATTCCTCCTCTTCTTCTGCCTCCTCCTACGCCACATGCCCTTCATGGTCAGCCAAGAGGCCCTGCTTTCGTAACCCCTGTAGCCCCCCCCCCCCAGCATCAGTCAGCCTCCAAAGAACATGAGGACGTTGCAATCCAGTCCCGCCAGCATAGCTCTGTGGATGGGGTTGGATCCATAATGGCCACAACCTGGGGGCGGGGGGAGGGCGAAAACAGGGAACTGTCATGGACGTCTTGTGCTCCAGGGTCCATCGAAGCTCGTAGCCGGGACTGGATCCAGGCCTGGCTTGCATGAAGGAAAAAGCACTTGGATTCTCCCCATACGCACACTTTGGGCTTCTCTCCCTCCCAGTCGAAAACCCTGCGGGAGAGATGGCTGCTCGAGGGAGCTCCTTCATCCACGGCCGAGGAAGGAGAAGCCTTGAAGATGCAGATGGAGCAGGACGACTTGAAGGTGAAGGAGCTGGAGGAGAGCATCGAGAGGTAATCCGCAGCGTGGCCCTTCCCCCCCCTCCCAGGGGTGCAGGAGACCCCGAGGTAGCCTTAGGCGAGCTTCACCGGTTACTTGTCTGCCTCCCGATTAGAGTTGCCGGGCTGTGGTCAGCAACCCCTGGGAGCATTTGTGGGCCAGCGGCACACTGATGTCACTTCCGGATGGAAATGCCATCATGGGACACTCTGGGATTTGCAAAAATCCATAGAGTTTGTTGCAAATTCTAGAGTGTCTCACGGTGCCATTCCCAGTTTTTATCGGAAGTTATTTCAGTGTGCTGATGGGGCCGCGGTGGCTCAAATGGTTAAGATGCTGAACTGCAGAGCAGAAGGTCGGTAGTTCAGCAGTTTGAGACCCGAGTGTGCCGCAAGACGGAGTGAGCTCCCGTCTCTGGCCCCAGCTCCTGCCAACCTAGCAGTTCGAAAGCAAGAAACTGCAAGTAGATAAATAGGTACCGCTTCGGTGGGAAGGTAACAGCGTTCCGTGCGCCTCGGCGTCTAGTCATGCCGGCCACATGACCACGGAGAAGTCTTCGGACAGCGATGGCTCTTCGGCTTGGAAACGGAGATGAGCACCACATCCCTAGAGTCGGATTCGACTGGCTTTCGCGCAAGGGGAACCTTTACCTTTACTGTTTCAGTGTGCTGGTGTGGTGGCAGTGCGCCCCCCCTCCCCCCCCTCTTTGCTTCCTCCAGCCAGCACTTCAGGCACTGTGGGGCAATAAATCGGTTGCTCGGAGGTCCCTTGCTAAAGAAACCTCCCGATAACCCTCTGTGCTGTGCACTCGTAAAAGGCACGGAAAGGTGGGGGGCAAGCAGCCCCAGCAGCATAAGGCGTACTTGAAAGACATTAGAGCCCTTTTGGCAGCCATCTTAGGCCCCTCCCCCCAGATTATCTACCTTGCTACCCAGCATTCTGTGCAGGTTCATTCAGTGTGCTTTGGTGTGCGTGCTTTAGTGTCGCTGGTGTGCATTAATTTGAGATGTCTCTACGATGCCATAACTGCTGGAGTGAGGAACTCATTACGCCTGGACATTGGGGGGCGCTACATCACTCTAAGGGTGTACAGGTGTTATCTCCTTGAATGGGATGTCCCTCTCTTTGTCTTAACCTGGGAGCTGCCCTCTGCCCTCTCATCTCTCTTTGTCCTCTCACTCGCTGCACATGGCCTTCCTTTGTCCTCTCACTGACTGCACATGGCCTTCCAGGGGGACACATGTCTCTGCAGGTCTCCCCTGTAGAGGCAATGCCCTCCTACTCCCATACAGGTGATGCCGGGCAAGCTGGCCACTTGTGAAAGGTAAAGTCCTCCTTAGATTAGGCTTCTCTTTCTCTTCTTTTGACTGCAACCTGAATGTGAACTGGATCTACTTGACTAAATGTAAGTTTACTCTCTCTTTTTTTGCAGTATACTTCTTGGGAGATTTATTTTCTGCACTCAGTATCACACTGCTATGACCGGGCAAAACTCTGCTAGATTACCCCAAAATCCCAATAATAATTGTACACTCCTGGCCCTTCCCTGCCTCTCCGGTCCAACATTTTCCTTGCACGAAGAGGGGGTTGGGTTGTCATATAACTGGGAACCAGGGGTCATTTCCTGCAGGAGCGCACAGGAGCAGAGTTCCGGCAGTAAAGAGCCCAGGGGGCGGGCACATGCAACAAGCCCCGCCCCCTGCTCCCAGCAGCCCTCAGTCAGAGCAAGAAGCAGCCAGGTAAGCTGCAGAGCCCCCCTGCCCCCCC